TATTCTTAAAACAAATGGACCTAACAAATATATACAGAACATTTCATCCAACAACCACAGAATACACGTTCTATTCAATAGCACATGGAACTTTCTCCAAGATAGACCATATGATAGGCCATAAAATGAGCCTCAATTAATTTAAGAAAATTGAAATTATATCAAGCACTCTGTCAGACCACAGTGGAATAAAACTGGAAATCAATTCCAAAAGGAACCTTCAAAACCCTGCACATACATGGAAATTAAATAACCTGTTCCTGAATGAGCATTGGATTAAAAATGAAATTAAGATGAAAATTTAAAAATTATTCAAACTGAACAACAATAATGACACAACCTATCAAAACCTCTGGGATACAGCTAAGGTGGTGTGAGAGGAAAGTTCATAGCCCTAAATGCCTACATCAAAAAAGACTGAAAGAGCACACACTTCCATTCTAAGATCATATCTCAAGAACTAGGGAAACAAGAACAAACCAAACTCAAACCCAGAGAAGAAAGGAAAGAACCAAGATCAGAGCAGGACCAAATGAAATGAAACAACAACAACAAAAAAAATAAAAAATAAAAAAGATAAATGAAACAAAAAGCTGGTTATTTGAAAAGATATATAAAATTGATAGGCCATTAGCAAGATTAACCAAGAAAAGAAGCAAGAAAATCGAAATAACCTCACTAAGAAATGAAACAGCAAATATTACAATTGATACCACTGAAATACAAAAGATCACTCAAGGCTACTACAAACACCTTTACACACATAAACTAGAGAACCTGGAAGAGGTGGATAAATTCCTGGAAAAATGCAACGCTCCTAGCTTAAATCAGGAAGAATTAGATACTCTGAACAGACCAATAACAAGCAGCGAGATTGAAATGGTAATTTAAAAATTACATACTAGCCGGGCGCGGTGGCTCAAGCCTGTAATCCCAGCACTTTGGGAGGCCGAGGCGGGTGGATCACCAGGTCAAGAGATCGAGACCATCCTGGTCAACATGGTGAAACCCCGTCTCTACTAAAAACTACAAAAAATTAGCTGGGCATGGTGGCACATGCCTGTAATCCCAGCTACTCAGGAGGCTGAGGCAGGAGAATTGCCTGAACCCAGGAGGCGGAGGTTGCGGTGAGCCGAGATCGCGCCATTGCACTCCAGCCTGGGTAACAAGAGCGAAACTCCGTCTCAAAAAAAAAAAAAAAAAAATTACATACAAAAAAAGTCCAGGACCAGACAGATTCACAGCAGAATTCTACCAGATATGACACTATTTCGCAAGATAGAGAAAGAAGGAACCCTTCCTAATTCATTCTATGAAGCCAGCATCACCCTTATACCAAAACCAGGAAAGGACATAACCAAAAAAGAAAACTAAAGACCAATAAACTTGATGATCATAGATGCTAAAATCCTTAACAAAATACTAGCTAACCTAATCCAACAACATATCAAAAAGTTAATCCATCATGATCAGGTAGGTTTCATGCCAGGGATGCAGGGATGGTTTAACATACCCACATCAATAAATGTGATACACCACATAAACAGAATTTTTTTAAAAAATCAAACAATCATCTCAATAGATGCAGAAAAAGCATTCAACAAAATCCAGCATCCCTTTATGATTAACACTCGCAGGAAAATCAGCATACAAGGGACATGCCTCAATGCAATAAAAGCCATCTATAACAAACCCATAGCAAACATAATACTGAATGGGGAAAAGTTGAAATCATTGCCTCTGAGAAGTAGAACAAGACAAGGATACCCACTCTTACCACTCCTCAACATAGTCCTGGAAGTCCTAGCCAAAGCAATCAGACAAGAGAAAGAAATAAAGGGCATCCACTTTGGCCGGGCACGGTGGCTCACGCCTGTAATCCCAACACTTTGGGAGGCCCACACAGGTGGATCACCTGAGGTCAGGAGTTTAAGGCCAGCCTGTCCAACATAGTAAAACCCCGTCTCTACTAAAAATACAAAAATTATCTGGGTGTGTTAGAGGATGCCTGTAATCCCAGCTCTTGGAGGCTGAGGCAGGAGAATCACTTGAACCCAGGAGGCAGAGGTTGCAGTGAGTAGAAATTGTACCACTGCACTCCAGCCTAGGCAACCAGAGCAAGACTCCATCTAAAGAAAAAAGAAAGAAAGAAAGAAAGAAAGAAAGGGTATTCAAATCAGTAAAGAAGAAGTTAAACTGTCACTGGTTGCTGATGATATGATTGTCTACATTGAAAACCCTAACGACTCCTCCAGAAAGCTCCTAGAATTGATAAAAGAATTCAGCAAAGTTTCTGGATACAAGATTAATGTACACAAATCAGTAGCTCTTCTATACACCACCGGCAACCAAGCAGAGAATCAAATCAAGAACTCAACCCCTAATATAATAGCTGCAAAAAACAACAACAACAGCAACAACAACAAAAACTTAGGAATACACCTAACCAAAGAGTCAAAGACCTCTACAAGGAAAACTACAAAACACTACTGAAAGAAATCACAGAGACAAACAAATGGAAACACATCCTATGCCCATGGATGGGTAGAATCAATATTGTGAAAATGACCATACTGCCAAAAAAAAATTCAATGCAATCCCTATCAAAATATCACCATCATTCTTCATGGAATTAGAAAAAAAAACAATTCTAAAATTCATATGGATCCAAAAAAAAGCCCGCATAACCAAAGCAAGACTAAGCAAAAACAAAAACAAATCTGGAGACATCACACTACCTGATTTCAAACTATGCTATAAGACCATAGTCACCAAAACAGCACGGTACTAGTATAAAAATAGGCACATAGATCAATGGAACAGAATAGAGAACCCAGGAATGATCCCAAATACTTAAAACCAACTGATCTTGGACAAAGCAAACAAAAACATAAAGTGGGGAAAGGACACCCTTTTCAACAAATGGTGCTGGGATAATTGGCTAGCCACATGTAGGAAAATGAAACTGGATCTTCATCTCTCACCTTATGCAAAAATCAACTCAAGATGGATTAAGGACTCAAATCTAAGACCTGAAACTATAAAAATTCTAGAAGCTAACATTGGAAAAACCCTTCTAGACATTGGCTTAGGCAAGGATTTTATAATCAAGAACCCAAAAGCAAATGCAATAAAAACAAAGATAAAGAGTTGGGACCTAATTAAACTAAAAAGCTTTTGCATGGCAAAAGGACAATCAGGAGAGTAAACAGACAACCCACAGAGTGGGAGAAAATTTCCACAATCTGTACATCTGACAAAAGACTAATATCTAGAATCTGCAATGAACTCAAATAAATCAGTAAGAAAAAAACAAAGAACCCCATCAAAAAGTGGGCCAAGAACATGAATAGAGAATTCTCAAAAGAAGATATACAGATGGCCAACAGACACATAAACAAAAAGCTCAAAATCACTAATGATCAGGGAAATGCAAATCAAAACCACAATGTGATACCACCTTACTCCTGCAAGAATGACCATAATCAAAAACGCAAAAAACAGTAGATGTTTATGTGGATGTAGTGATCAGGGAACACTTCGACACTGCTGGTGGGAATGTAAACTAGTACAGCCAATATGGGAAACAATGTGGAAATTCCTTAAAGAACTAAAAGTATAACTACCATTTGATCCAGCAATCCCACTACTGGGTGTCTATCCAGAGGAAAGAAGTCATTATATGAGAAAGATAGCCAGAAAGCTTTGAGGTGAAAGAGTATTCTGGGCCGGGCAAGGTGGCTCACACTTGTAATCCCAGCACTTTGGGAGGCTGAGGCAGGTGGACACCTGAGGTCAGGAGTTCAAGACCAGCCTGGTCAACATGGTGAAACCCTGTCTCTATTAAAAATACAAAAAAAAAAAAAAATAGCTTGGCGTGGGGGTGCGTGCACCTGTAATCCCAGCTACTTTGGGAGGCTGAAGCAGGAGAATTGCTTGAACCCGGCAGGTGGAGGTTGCAGTGAGTGGAGATTGCGCCATTGCATTTCCGCCTGGGTGAGAAGAGCAAAACTCTGTCTCCAAAAAAAAAGTATCCTGATCAGAGAGAAGAGCAAGTAAGGGCTCTGAGGCAAAAGCTTCAGTAGTAGACAGAACAATGATTCATAAAAAATGCCCACATCCAGTCCCCAAGACCTATGAACATGTTATATTATACAGCAAGGGGGACAGGGGTTGCGGATGCAATTAAGGCCACTAATCAGCTAACCAGAAAGTGAGAAGGTCATTGTGGATCACCCAGAGGTAACCAGTACAATCACAAGGAACCTGAAAGGCAGGAACGGAGGCAGAAGAAGAGTGGCAGAGTGAGCCTGACTACGGAAGAAGGGTCAGAAATGCAAACTAACCGCCTTAAAAGGTGGAGGAAGGAAAACAAGAGCCAAGGAGTGTGGACAGTGCCTAGAGACTGATAAAGCAAAATCAAGGTCTCCCCCTAAGAGCATCCGGAAAGAAACAAAGCCCTATAGACACCTTGATAATTGCCCAGTGAGATGTGTCAGACTTCAGGACTAAAGAACAGAAAGATAGTGTTTGTTGTTTAGTCCACTAAATGTGTGGTCATTGGTTACTACAACAGGCAATACAGTGTCCTTGGCAGGTCAGAGAAACAGCAGGGAGGACAATGTGACTGGAAAGACAGGGCAAGAAGGAGAGGACAGGAAATGTCGTCAGAGAGGCGGTGGGGGATGAAGAACGGATCACATGGTCTCTAAAAGGCACTTAAAACACTTGTAACTTAAGTAAACATAAGAAGCCAGACAGGCTTTAGAGCCAAGGAATGGCAATCTGACTTAGTTTTCCTAAGGATCACTTTGGCTGCCATGAGGAAAACAGATGTCAGGATGGGAAAAGTGGGAGCAGGGCAACAAGCCAAAAGTCAGCTGTAAAAATCCAGGAAGAAGGTTTGGCCATTTAGACCAGGGCAACAGAGTTGGGCAACAGACAGAAGCAAAACAGAAGGGAGAGTCACGTACAAGGACACACAGTTGCTTCCTTCTTACCTAAATTCCCTTCTCTTTGGGTTGCTGTCTCCACCATCCAGAACTTTTCTTCCCTGGGGAAGTGGAAAGTATCTCTGTGGAGTAGTTGATACCCTGTGAACATGCAAAGTCATATGCTTAAGGCCAACATATCCTAGGGAAAAAATCTAAGTAAAACTTACTAGAAACTTAGGTTCCCAATGCATACTCAAATTTGAACACTCTAGGATACAAAACCACTCCTGGGCCTGACATTCCCTTACAAAGGGTGCCTGTCCTCACCCACTAAGAGCACGTTCCTGAAATTCTCCAGCATCACATCTCGATACAGCTTCCTCTGGGCAGGGTCCAACAGTCCCAGCTCCTCCTCGGTGAAGACCACAGCCACGTCCTTGAAGGTCACTGCCTCCTATAGCATCAAACATATGCAACTTCAAACTCATGGCCAATGATTACTGAGAGAGGGGTGGCACTGAGCAGACAGAGGGGAAGGACGAGAAGCTGTTTTGTTTTTTTTTTTAATTTTTAATTTTTTATTTTTTTTTGAGACTGAGTTTTGCTCTTGTTACCCAGGCTGGAGTGCAATGGCGCGATCTTGGCTCACCACAACCTCCGCCTCCTGGGTTCAGGCAATTCTCCTGCCTCAGCCTCCTGAGTAGCTGGGATTACAGGCACGTGCCACCATGCCCAGCTAATTTTTTGTATTAGTAGAGACGGGGTTTCACCATGTTGACCAGGATGGTCTCGATCTCTTGACCTCGTGATCCACCCGCCTCGGCCTCCCAAAGTGCTGGGATTACAGGCTTGAGCCACCGCGCCCGGCCCAGCTGTTTTGAATCTTAAGAATCTTAAGAGACATACGTCAATGTGCAGATTTCCTTTTTTTTCTTTTTTTTGAGACAGAGTCCTGCTCCGTTGCCCAGCTGGAGTGCAGTGGCATGATCTTGGCTCATTGCAACTTCCACCTCTAGGGTTCAAGTGATCCTCCCGCCTCAGCTTCCCAGGTAGCTGGGATTATAGGTGCCCACTACTATGTCTGGTTAATTTTTATATTTGTAGTAGAGATGAGATTTCACCACATTGGCCAGGCTGGTCTTGAACTTCTGACCTCAGATGATCTGCCTGCCTTAGCCTCCCAAAGTGCTGGGATTATAGGCATGAGTCACCCTGCCTGGCCAACTTATAGATTTCCTACTCATTCTGTCTGTATCCTGACAATGACTGATTTTCCTGAGCTCCACCAGAAGTGCAATGATGGAAAATACCTCCTATACGTTTACTTTGTGCACTTACTGTCCTTTTAAGTAACCCTTTAGGACTCTAAATGCAGCATCTTGGGCTACACGTATACAGGTTTCAATGAATCTTGCCTATTGTCCCAGCAACATTTAGCAATTCAGTCCCAGTCTTGTTTGATAATTCCCATTGTTCTCTCTCATACTTGAACCCTGAATGTTATCATTTTTCTTTAATATCTGCCACCAAACTAACAAGCGTGTGGTAACCTGTGTGGAACAGCTATGCAGTACATCTTCTGTACTCTCAAGGCATAAACTATATACATTAATTGAAGCATTGAATGTCATGATCTGCAGCCAGTGTGCCTAAGAGCACATCCCAAGGCTCTGTACCTTCCTGGTCACATGACCTTGAACAAGTTCACCTATTTACTCCCTCTCTCTTTAATAATTCTCATATTATAGTTTTCTCAATGATTAAACAAGGAACTATATGGAGCATTGGAAAAGTTGATCAGTACAGACTAAATACCTAATAAGCATTAGTTTTAAAAAATTATTATCATCATTGTTGCCATCTATTTTATCTCATTTCTTTTTTTTTTTTTAGATGGATTTTCACTCATGTTTTGTTTTCCTGTTTTTTTGAGATGGAGTTTCACTCATGTTACCCAGGCTGGAGTGCAATGGCGCGATCTCGGCTCACCGCAACCTCTGCCTCCTGGGTTCAGGCAATTCTCCTGCCTCAGCCTCCTGAGTAGCTGGGATTACAGGCACGCACCACCATGCCCAGCTAATGTTTTGTATTTTTAGTAGAGACAGGGTTTCACCATGTTGACCAGGATGGTCTCGATCTCTTGACCTCGTGATCCACCCGCCTCGGCCTCCCAAAGTGCTGGGATTACAGGCTTGAGCCACCGCGCCCGGCCTTATTTTATCTCATTTCATATCTGCATAGTATTCCAAAGAATTGATAATCTATTTTTATCTACTCTAAATAATCTTTAATTTTACATATGCTCATTAATACCAATCCTGAAAAAAAAAAACATTTTAGGTAGATTTTACTCCTGTTTGATTATTTAAAATAATCTTAAATGAAAATCAAAATGTCAATAAATAGGCATGTTTAAAATTGTGATCATATAACATCAGATGTCAACTTTTTACCAAACTCTAATCTTTCAAGGGGCTACATGTACACTGATTTGTCTTACCATAACCAAGAGCAAGTTATCAATTTTCCCATGATTTTGGTAATCATATTAGGAAAAATTTAACAGTCTCACTTATTTGATTATAAATAATACCATCACCTTTTCAAACATTTATTGGCCAACTCAATTTCTCCTTTAAACTTGCCTTAATGACCTTTATTCATATTTCTTTGGATTTTTTTTTCTATTCTGTACATAAGATTCTTATTTTGGATTTTGTCTTTTTCAGATATACATGTAGTGAATATTTTCACTCTAGGCTGTTACGTTTTCTGGTAACATCGTGCGAGGTATCCTTTACCATACTGAATGTAAAGACTTTCTATGATGACTATGGTTATCACTGTCCTTGGGTGCCTGGAGCACTGGGTGCAACTGAGTAGGTGTCGATTCAGGAAGAAAGAAGGTCACCCCAAAATAGGGCCTGAAAGGAGCAGTGCCACCTGTGGACTCTGGCTCTCGGGTTGGCACAACACAACAGGCTGTAACTACTTAAACTGCATTTTCACACAATGATTATTGGAGGTGTTCACAGAAGAAGATCTAGATTCTGTTTCTCCCATGCCATATCTCTGTTGTTCTCCCTAAGTCTTCCCAAGACTGAAAAAAACATGTGAGAATATGAGTAGTGAGATTAAATACAGCCGGGTGCGGTGGCTCACACCTGTAATCCCAGCACTTTGGGAGGCTGAGGTGGGCAGATCACCTGAGATCAGACATTTGAGACCAGCCTGGCCAAATGGTGAAACCCCGTCTCTACTAAAAATACAAAAATTAGCCAGGTGTGGTGGTATGTGCCTGTAGTCCCAGCTACCTGGGAGGCTGAGGCAGGACAATCACTTGAACCCGGGAGGCAGAGGTTGTAGTGAGCTGAAATCAGGCCACTGCACTCCAACCTCAGCAATAAAGCAAGACTACATCTCAAAAGAAAAAAGAAATTTTAACAGCAAGAGAGGCAAACTCTACTCACCTTCAACGTGGTCATTTTTCTTCCTGTATCAGGGAATACGCAGAGTCCTGAGTGATGCAGTCTGAGGGAAAGAAGAATCCTGCCTCAAAAGTACCAGGGAAAGCAGAAAAAGAGACATGAAAGTGTGGCCAGTGATGCCGTCGCCAACACAAATGTGTATCGTAAATTAACACATGGATATTCACAACAGCATTATTCATAGTAGCCCAAAACTGTACACAAACAAATGCCCTCCTTTGCATACATGGATAGACAAATTGTGGCCCATCCATAGAATGGAATCTTATTTAGAAATTAAAAAGGATGAAGTAGGCCGGGCGCGGTGGCTCAAGCCTGTAATCCCAGCACTTTGGGAGGCCGAGGCGGGTGGATCACGAGGTCAAGAGATCGAGACCATCCTGGTCAACATGGTGAAACCCCGTCTCTACTAAAAATACAAAAATTCAGCTGGGCATGGTGGCGTGTGCCTGTAATCCCAGCTACCCAGGAGGCTGAGGCAGGAGAATTGCCTAAACCCAGGAGGTGGAGGTTGTGGTGAGCCGAGATCGTGCCATTGCACTCCAGCCTGGGTAACAAGAGTGAAACTCCGTCTCAAAAAAAAAAAAAAAAAAAAAAAAAAAGGATGAAGTACCGACTCATGCTACAACACGTATGAACTTTGGAAACATGATGCTACGTGGAAGAAGCCAGTCACATAAGAAGGCCCACATATTGCATGATCCTATTTCTATGACATTCCAGAGTAGGCAAGTGTACATAATAAGAAAGTAGGTAGGTGGTCTCTGCATATTTGAGGTGAGAAAGAGGATTAACTATGAATGGGTACAAGGAGACTTAACAGGGAATGAAAATAATTTAAACTGAATTATGGTGATGTTTATTCCATTCCTCAAAGTTCCTAAAAATCATTGAAGTGTACACATTAAATGGGTAGATTCTATGATACACAGAATACAACTCAATAAAGTTGGACAAAGTATTGGTAATTGTTAATCCACATGCCGTTTAACTTAATAAGACTGTATTCTGGATCTACACTGATAGAATATATATAGTTGAATGAATGAATGAATAAGCAAATGAAAGAGGAGGGGAAGCTCACCTTTATAGTAGAATGCCCACTAATAAATGTATTTCTCCATAAAAAAATGTATTTAACTAAAAGATTAGGAAGTGTATCTTGAGAGCAACTTGAATCTGTGTTCCTGGGGTAAAAAAAAAAAAAAAATTCAAAATAAGTTTACAGTGCAGAGATCTGACAAACTTGACTTTGGCCAAGTGAACAAAGTTAAGATCACCAATGAAGTGACAAACTGACATACGGCCCTTGTTATGTTGCAGTAAGAAATTTACCCCTGTGGGCTGGCCGAGGTGGCTCATGTCTGTAATCCCAGCACTTTGGGAGGCCAGTGCAGGTGGATCACCTGAGGTTAGGAGTTTGAGACCAGCGTGGCCAACATGGTGAAACCCCATCTCTACTAAAAATACAAAAATTAGCTGGGCATGGCGACAGGCACCTATAATCCCAGCTACTTGGGAGGCTATGGCAGGAGAATAGCTTAAACCCAGGAGGTGGAGGTTGCAGAGAACCAAGATCGTGCCACGCACTGCAACCTGGGCGACAAGAGTGAAACTCTGTCTCAAAAAGAAAAGAAAAGAAAAGAAATTTACCACTTCTGTGGTATTCCCGCAAAAAATGCATAATTTGAAGCTAAACATGAAATACATCAGAAAAACTCCAAATGAACATCCTTGACCAAAATAACTTCATCTATACTCTTCAAAAAATAACAAGGATAAAATATCAAGAATAAAAAAGATGAAAACTATGCTATCTTTCAAGATTAAAGAAGACTAGAAAAACATGACAACTGAAAGCAATACATGAGATTGGACTTTGAATGGGGTGAGGGGTGGAGTGTGGGGAGGGGGATAGGTATAGTTATAAAGGCTTCAATTAAAAAGCAGAACAAAATTAAATCTGGAACTGTAGATTAGATGACATGTTATCTAATATGTTTTCTAGCATTAATAGATGCCACAATTAGCTATTGGTAATAGTTTTTAGTAGGTATATAATATAGATAACAGTATTATGTAATATATTATCTAATGTTATGTAGTATTTTATGTGACACCCTATAACCAGCACTTCCTAAGCACCTCTTACCAAGACACCCCATGATTACCCTGGTATGTGTGCTTCCCTGCTGCAGAAAATTATAGTCAGTTGTCTCTGATTACAGGTATGTTCTTGATAGTATTTTGCTGATGTGCATCAACAAACCAAATGGCAAAATTGGGTAAAGAGTAAATGAAAGCTTCTAATATTACACTATTTTTGCCACTTTTCTATAGGTTTCAAATGATATGAAAATAAAGTGTTAAAATATCAGAAAGCATTAATAGTAATAATAATAATGGATGAACGTGACATCATATGGCAGTTTCACTAGTTACTTCTCTCTGTTGATGGTATTTGGAAATGTCCATAGTTAAATACCTAAGAAAAAACATTTTAAAATATTTTAAAATGTTAAAATATTTATAAATAAATATACAAGTATACACAAAGGAAGATGAAGAAGAAATGCATTAGAAGCTGAACGGTTACTTTTTTCTATTTTTTTTTTTTTTGAGATGGAGTCTCGCTCTGTCGCCTAGGCTGGAGTGCAATGGCGCCATCTCTGCTCACTGCAACTTCTGCCTCCCGGGTTCAAGCGATTCTCCTGCCTCACCCTCCTGGGTAGCTGAGATTACAGGCGCATGCCACCATGCCCGGCTAATTTTTTATATTTTTAGTACAGATGGTGTTTCACTGTGTTAGCCACGATGGTCTCAATATCCTAACCTGGTGATCTGCCCGCCTCGGCCTCCCAAAGTGCTGGGATAACAGGAGTGAGCCACTGTGCCCGGCCTTTTTTTTTTTTTTTTTTTTTTTTTTTTTTTGAGACGGAGTCTTGCTCTTCTGCCCAGGCTAGAGTGCAGTGGCACGATCTCGGCTCACTTCAACTTCCGCCTCCCGGGTTCAAGCAATTATCCTGCCTCAGCCTCCCGAGTAGCTGGAATTGCAAGCGCCCACCACCGCACCCAGCTAATTTTTATGTTTTTAGTAAAGACGGGGTTTAACCATCTTGGCCAGGCTGGTCTCGAACTCCTAACCTCGTGATCCACCCGCTTCGGCCTCCCAAAGTGCTGGGATTACAGGCGTGAGCGCCTGTCCCAACAGTTGCTATTTCAAAATATTGGACTCGCCGATAATTAAAATGGTTTTTTCTAGTCATAGCAGTTCTCTAATTTCTGAGTGCTCCACAACGATATGGATCTATAACAACGATACATATTTGTAATAAGTGAGACAAAATGGTTGACAAAACTTTTAAAAACTCAAAGAAAAGTCCAAGCCCAATAAGCTTTGCTCTTCGGGTCCCTTCAATCAAGTCCTAACTTGCTTTCCCCATCTGAGTCCAGCTCATGTCTCAACAGGAACATACTCAAGAGATGATCAACTCATAATCTGACCCGGGCTGCCTAAGTTCCAACTCCAGCTCCACCTCTCAGTAGCTGGTGCTTATGCGCCATGTGTCTCATTCCCATCATCTTTAAAACAGAGAAAAGCAGTGCCTTTCCACAGTGCCAAGGTGTGGTGTAATGTACTTTTTCGCATAAAGCTCTTAGAATGAAGTAACCAGTTCAGTCTTACTTATTATCAACACCCATGCCCAGGGACACATCCTATACACTCGGTTGAGGGGAGCATCTCTGTCAAAGAAAAGAGCCAAAAGCCACTCACGTAGAGCTTTGCCCTCAGAAGCCAGGAAGTCCCTCCCTGCAGCTCTTTTGGAAAGATCGGGCTGGGGAAGGAGAAGGCTGTGAAACACCCGGACCGCGTCGCCGTCCCCCATAAGAGTTAAATGCTCCTCTCCCTTTCTGGAAGTCGACGCAACACTCGCCTTCCTAAAAAAGAGGTCGGAAGGCGTCCGGGATCATCAGGTCCCAACCACTGGAGTGGTTGGACTCCACGTCCCCTGCAGGGATCAGGGAGGGAGAAGAGCCGGTGCCCCTGCAGCTGGTGCTCTGACCCCACCCGGGGACCTGACAGACTTCGTGGGAAATTAACAACAGACCACCAGTCACCAAGTGGCAGGGGCTGCTTTAAGGCTTTCATTTGTGTTACCTCTTCCAGTTCCCCAAACGATTCTATTAGGATGGTCCTAAAGTGCCCATTTTAAAGAACAGTAACGGGAGACCCAAGGACATTAGGTAACATCCCAACGTTATACTGTGAGGAACTGGCCACGCGCGAGGGGTGCAAGGAGGCGGAGTGGGCAGCTCAGAGCCCCGAAAACACTGAAAGCAGGCGAGACGCGACCCGACCAAGTCCCAAACACCCCGGGGACGACGCGAGGACAGCCCAAAGCCCAAGAAGGCTTCACTGACGAGAACGAAAACAGCGGCCCTCGCCCGCCAAACCTCTGCTCTCCGACGAAGTTTTTTTTTTTTTTTTTTTTTTTTTGCTAATTCGATCACCAGTTCGTTGAGGATCCAAAGCGTAGGTTCAGGAAATTCAGAAGGGTCCCGCGGAACTGATGCAAACTACCAGCAACAAAACTGCAGCAACCTCACAGTCCCGGAGCGGAAGTGCCCACAACTCCACTGAAGTGGTTGGACTCCACGTCCCAGAATTCCCGAGCCAAACTGACCGTGACAACCCCGAGCGCGAGGACTACATTTCCCAGAATTCCGTAGGACCCGCCTGTCAGTGCCCAAACTGACCGCGACTCCACTGAGCGTCTGGACTACATTTCCCAGAAATCCCCAGATTCGCCTCCCGGAGCCAAACTGACCGCTACTCCACTGAGAATCTGGACTACCGTTCCCAGAATTGGGCCTGTATCCTCCTCCGGGAGCCACAGTGTTTGCGACTCCACCGAGCTATGGATTACACTCCTCCGATTCCTGGAGGAAAAACGCCCAAATTCTCAGTCTTCAGGGGGAAGCATTGCCACTCCGGGTGCCCACGGGGAACAAATCTCATAGCCACGAACTCCTGGTGGGGAATGTGAACTGTTAGAATTTCTGAGTCGTCCTTCTCTCTCGCTGGTTCAGGACAGAAAATATTGAATAGACAGGAATTCCTGAAGTCTAAACGCCTCCAGTGATTACAGGAGTGTTAATTGGAAAGGGAACAAGCGAGAAGACACAATCTTCGAGGAGTTAAGTTTTGCTAATCTAATGGTAAGGAATGGTATTTAAATATAGCTTTTTTTTTTTTTTTTTTTTTTTT